TGACACAAAATGTGTTGGGCTGGGGGCCATTTAAGTGTTTGGGGGTGGGGGGGGGGGGGGGGGGCTGGGAGGCTTCCAGGAAATGCAAACAAAGCCATGTTGTCTGTCTCAGCTTCTAATAAATGTTTACAGACTGCCGCCTCCCCACCTACCTCTCTCAAAGTAAGATCAAGAAGTCAGCTGCTTTAGGCAGGGATGTTTCTGCTAGAGGACCTGCTGAGGTCCTGTGCAGCCCTGCTCTCCTCTGTCCCAACCTGGGGGCAGAGTTAGCAGCTGACGTGTTTTGAAGTTGGGGTGGGGGAGAGGTGGGTTGGTGTGCCTTGTCAGGGGGAGATAAGCACTCAAGCACAGACTGGTACAATACTTGACTTTATAAGGACAAAGCAATATGGCTTGGATGACAGAAGCTCATATCAACACACAATGTAATAGTATATGTATAATTAACTTAGATTAAAAACATATATACCCTTTGTCCATGGTTACTCATATATGTTGTTCAATCTGAAACAGCAAAGATAAAGGGAGTCTCAGCATTTAATTTTCCAAATGTACTTTTCCTCTTCCCTAAACTCATAGGAATTAAAACTCATGGAAGAGGTGGTATCTTTTATTAGACCAAGGAGATATTTGCAAGCAAAATAAAATAATGCAAATAATTAAAACAATGTGCTTACAATATCTAGGTGGTCTAATAAAAGATCAAAAGTGTTGGTCTAGTTGGTCTACTAAAAGATTTAAAAAGGTTAAAAAACTTGTTTGCAAATATCTAGTTTGTCTACTAAAAGATTTTAAAAGTTGGTCTAGTGGATCTAATAAAAGTTTTAAAAGGCTAAAAAATGTGTTTGCCAATATCTGGCTGGGCTAATAAAAGATATAAAAAAGTTGGTCTATTTGGTCTAAAACATTAAAAAAAATTAAAATAATCTGTTTGTGAATATCTTGTTGGTCTAATAAAAGATAAAAAACGTTGGTTTAGGTCTAATAAAAGATTGAAAAGGTTTAAAAACTTGTTTGCAAGTACCTAGTTGGACTAATAAAAGATTTTTTAAAAAGTTGGTCTAGTTGGTTTAATAAAAGATTAAAAATATTAAAATAATTTGTTTGCAGATATCTAGTTGGTCTAATAAAAAAGTTGGTCTACGTCTAATAAAATATTTTAAAAAGGTTAAAAAACTTCTTTGCGAATATCAAGTTAGGCTGTTAAAAAGTCAGTCTAGGTTTAATAACAGATAAAAAAAGATTAAAATTTTCTTTGTTTGCAGCTATCGAGCTGGTCTAATAAAAAAGAAGTTGGTCTAGCTGGTTTAATAAAAGATTTTTAAGAAGACTGAAAAAAGATTTGCAAATATCTAGTCGGTCGAATAAAAAAGGGCTGTGATTCCTTCTGCCTCCAGACCAATGCGGCTGCCAGCCGGACATCTTCTCCCATCAGCTCCGCAGTGACGATGTCAGATCCCTTTAAAAAAGATCGGAGTACTTCTGAAAAAGTCTTCTGGAAATTGGCTTCTTCTGTTTAAAGCAGGAAAGAGCAAGAAGGGGGCACGCCGGTGCCTCGGCTCCTCCCCGAGGCTGTGGCGGGGCGGGAGCGGAGCCGGCTGCCTCCTCCCGCCTACAAAGCGGCGGCGCGGCGCGGCGCGGGGAGCGAGGGGCTCGGGCTGGTCCCGGCGGACTGGCGGGGATGAGCGAGGTGAAGCTGGCGGTGCTGGGCAGCGAGGGAGCCGGCAAGTCGGGTAAGGGGCGCGGGCGCGGCGGGGCCGCCGGGGTCCT